AACTCTGTCCGCAGTGAAAGAGGGTCTTCAGAAATATTGTGAAACTGTTTACTCGCGTAGTGGTATTAACCATATGTGGATTTTTAAAAACTCTAAAGAACTTCTGTATAATTTTAAATCTCGGTCTTTTTCTGAAATTAAATCTATCAAAACTTTTGATTTTTCAACCTTGTATACCACCATTCCCAATGTGAAATTGAAAAACCGTCTAAAAGAAATAATCCACAATGCTTTTCAACATAAAAATGGTAGCATACGTTATAAATTTATCAAACTTTGGGATACCGTAAGGCATATTTTGTTAATAGTGAACAAAAGGGTAAAACATGCTACACAGAGGAACAAGTGATCAGTATGATGGAGTTTCTTATTGACAACATATTTGTTGAATTTGGAGGTAGACTTCTTCAACAAATTGTCGGCATTCCTATGGGAACGAACTGTGCGCCTCTCCTTGCCGACCTCTTTTTATTTTCATATGAATCGGAGTTCCTTCAGACACTTGTCAAAAACAAGAAGATCAAAGAAGCCAGGTTATTTAATTTCACTTTCAGATATATTGATGATGTTCTTTCCATTAACAATCCGAACTTTTTTTATTGGGTTCCATTAATATCCCCCGGTCTAGAAATTAAAGAAACAACAGACACGGCTTCCTCCGCATATTGGATATACATTCCCCAACTTATTCGGTATTCAAGAGCTTGCAGCTCCTACTCAGACTTTGTAAAACGTCACCAGTATCTGAGCAGAAAGGTGATGAAACAGGGGTATGTCAAAGAACGTCTCTTCCTTTTTCTAAAAAAGTTCATCGGAAGGTACCAAGACCTTGTTGATAAATATTCCGTTTCAACTTCACAAATAATACACGATGGTCTTGAAGTATAGATTCTGCGTACTTACGTTGTTTATAATCTTAATAACGTGATATAGTATTCTTTTATTTGTCTTTATTAATATTACTTTTACTGTTAAGTCTGTTTTTTTTTTGTGATATCCATTTGACGTGACTCTGTACTTATGTATCCCGTCATACTTTGAAAGGCAAAATAATTTTGATTTATTAATATTACTTTTACTGTTAAATCTGTTTTTGTGATATCCATTTGACATGACTCTGTACTTATGTATCCCGTCATACTTTGAACATTATATCTACCTATGTGACGTCAAACGCGCGATTCTACGCCAGTACTTAAAACCTTCCATCCTTTAAGGGTGGGTTTTACATAGATAAATAAAATCGTATAATAAAGAAGCAAAATGAGGATGTTAAATTTGATGTATGCCTTTGTGTGCTTCTTTGTTACATTTGTTTGTTTTATAGTGATTTAGATGATGACACAATGTTGACTGCTGTACCCTATTTTTGACATTTTTACCTATTGTGTCTGTTTGGTTTGTTCACGCATCGTTGTCAATATAATGGAATTTGATGCGACTGTCATACAAGTGAGAGGTTTAGCTAGCTATAAAACCAGTTCAATCCACCATTTTCTACATAAGTCAGGAATATGACAGTTGTTATCCATTCGTTTGATGTGTTTGCGCTTTTGATTTTGCCATTTGATTAGGGACTTTCTTTTTTGAATTTTCCTCGGAGTTCAGTATTTTTGTGATTTTACATTCTGGTATATACGGTTTACCATGAATTGAAATGTATACAGTTTAGATATGCTAGCAGACATTTCTATATGCAAGATTAAAATGCGGAAAATGATTTTTTTAATATTACCCTGTTTTGAATCAAAAATTTTGTCATTCATATAGTTCTTGTAAATAAAGTTTAACATTTGCATAAAATAATGAAATTTTTGAAATAAATCACTTGATGGAATGAAATGTTTGCATTTTGTCTGTGAATATTTTAACCTAAAAACCATTCCCGATGAAAAATTTGCAATGCTGATTTCATGGAAAGAAAACGTAGACAAGAACCGTAAAAGTTAAGTGGATTTTATCAAATTATTTCAGATATTAAGAAAAAACAAATATGTATCTGCGATACAGAAATGAAATTACTGATAATAAAAGTTACCTTTGATCTAAAACTTTAAATAATATCCCTTCATATTTATAAAACAAAAACTGGGCTATATACCATTAGACAGCAACTCAACAACGCTTAGAAATACATCGATTAAAACGGTCTTCAACAATTTAATGGGGTCTAGCATCGTTTCATAAAGAACAGGAAATAATTTGACAAACTATTAAAAATCTGTCTTTAGCACCAAAATAACAAAATGTTAAAATCAGAACACAACCACTAACGAGGTTCCCGACTTCGGACCGACACATGAACAAATCCTGTAGTTGAATAAGTTTTTAAAAGTTAATACCCTATATGATGGTTATAGAAATAAACATCAAGGAAAAAAAGCGAATAGACAAACAACAAATTGTCCGCAAATACTAAAAATAAAAATAAATATTAAGTAACACAAAACAAAGCAAAAACTTAAATTGACCTTGAAGGGTCAGCCGTTCTACCTCCTGTAGTGATACCTGCCCTGTTACTTTACTCTCTTTCTGTGAAACACGGGTTTAATGACAAGGATACAAACGACTGTTATCGGTAGAAACAACACAGAAATTGAAACAATAAAGACAAACCATACAACAATGAAAATCAAAGGAGAAAAAGCAAGACCGGTTTAAAACAAAACCAGAGGCAAATAAATGTCATAAACTATCTTCCTAACTCTACGAAATATAGTAGTCATCTATAAATTGGACATACTTTGAATAAAGGCAACAAATTTGGAAAACCAGATCAAACATTCAAAATATATGTAAAATTTGAAGAAACTTTACGAAAAAAACAATATATGACTTCTATTATGATTAACTTACAAATAAGGCATCGAAATGGGATGAAATTGCGACATCCAGTAATTGTTGGTCCGCGTTCCAGATATACTGCGACCTTGATGTTTTACAGAATGTATTGTACATTTGACTTATTGGCACGAAGAGAGCATAGCATTTTAATATTTTGTCAATAAAAAAAACATTTTAGAACACTGTTTTCAAATTGTTTATAGTCGTGAAGTCATTTGTAATATTATATAATTAAAATATAATTTGTTTTATATGTAATTCTATAATTTCGTGTAAGAAACATGATTCTGTTCTATTTTACTCTTTTCAGTACTCAGAATATTCTACATGACGCCACTTTTAACAACATATATTATATACTTTGAACAGTAATACCTTTTCATTCAGGATACTGTGAGCAAACTGCTCATAAACTATTACATAACGTTGTTGTGATATTGTAATTTGATTTATTAAAATTTTAATTTAAAAGATTCCTATGCAAAATACGGTTCCGTTCTATTTCCTGTCCTCCTTTTATATTTATCATTTCAAAACATGAGTCTTAACTAATGGCGAAACTTTGCGGTACTTAGTATTCAATAAAAAGTGTCAATCGTAGCTTATTCCATTCATTTGTGCTTTCAATGTCACACCAGTCAATTATGGTGATGTCGTTTTGTAATTTTGTAAGTTCTGGTAGAGAAATATATTCCCTACTCGCATTTCTCATAATGACTATTATTTTCTGTAAATATTTTGTGAATTTTTCTAATTTAGCTCTTTCGATTTCTAACCTTCCCCATGGGTAATCCTTATAATTCTCGGATATAATGATGATTACATGTCTGCTCATTTCAATAGCATTTGCCAGGGCATCAGCATGAGCCTCACCAAGTAAAATATCACGGTGTTCGACACAAATTTTTAGATGCCATGAGTTTTCAACTTTTGGAATCAACTCTTTTTTTATCCAGTCTATACTATCGTCTGCATAGGAAACATAAATGTCAAACATAAATTTATGGCGTAAAATAACTGTTTTAAATGTTCTATATATCCAAAAAAGGATTTGCCATTTAAAATTTAAAATAATGGCTACTATGATTGTTATAGTTATGAATGTAAAAAGACTCCAAAGACCAATCCTTATCCAGACGCCATTACTGCAGTGAACAAATAGCCGATGAAAGTCATTGTACACTGTCTTTGTATCAGTAATAGTTCCATTACTAAGCTGACTAGTATAATTTCTAGATTTAGTATCGAAGTTCAGCTTTATAAATTCAGTATTGTAACAATTACAAAGGAACATACTGTTCGCAGGATAGAGTTTGAATTTATTTTTCGTTCTCTGATTTTGACTTTCCATCCAAGATCGTATCGTTTCGATTATCAACTGTATCTGATTATCTCTTACATCTAGTTTTTCTAAAGTGTCTATATGTGTAACTGCAGGGGTATTTCCAGCAAGATATTACTAGCCAATATAAGATGGTTTAATGTTTTGCTGTTACTGAACGTGAATTCATTCTTATACCAAATATTGTTTCCAGAAATATCGAATGTTTTCACTGTTGAAAGTACATTAGAAAACATATCACTGTCACGAAATATTTGACCAAGATTAGCATCTCTCATTATAAGTGTACTTACACTTGTGAACGAATTAAAAAAACGGGTTTTCTAGAAGAATTTTAGAGCCAATCCCAGAGACATCTAAGTGTTCAAGGTTTACTTGTCCATCAAAAGAAATTCCCAAAAAATCATCCATTTGGAAGTAAGAAAAACCTAGATACTTTAAAATAGACACATTCTTGATTATAGGTCTCTGACTATTATACCCATCTACCGATAAATAATTGGACATTCTAATTGTATGTAGCTTACTTGGAATTGCAAACGTTAAAGTTGGTGGATGTTGAATATTATCTTTTAGTTTTGATTCTTAACATTGTAACTTTTATCAGATTTTCTGCTTAAACATTTCGTTGGTTTGAACTCGTGAATCAGCTTGTTTTCGACCAATGGTTGAAAATTAATTGTATCACTTAAGAATGGAATGTTTAAATACTGTATTTTCTTGTATTTAATTGGATTATATGAAAAGTCAAAAAATTTCTGATTGGTCAATTCACAGAGCAAACCAACGAACTGTGCACCATCAACAAAAGAAATTAAGGAAAATCTGTTCCCAGACAATACAATTGTATTAAAGCAATGGGGATATTTAAAGACGCCAAGCTGTTTGGGCCAAGGAAAACAATATCATTTTCTGCTAATACCAATGTTTTGACACACACCTTTTTCAAATATGATACCATTGTTTCTGTAAGTATAACTGAATTTCAAGACGGTGTGCCATTTTTTTTTGTATACTACCGCATGCATAGACTTATTGTGGAGGGGATATAAGATCTCCAAATCCAAAGCATCGGAAAGTCTGCATACCATCATTGTCAAACTTAACATCTGAAGATTTGGAAATGGCTTTGAAAAGTCTCGCTCCACAAGTGATATATATGGAATATTGTGGATGTTATTTCCGAAATAAATCTGTTCTACACTGTCAGGAAAATCTTCCAAAGTTATATTTTTCAATGCTGTTAAATAACAATGTTCAAACCGTATAATCTTTAGTTTTGTCAATTTTTTTTACACCACTCAAGGTAAACTTATGGTTTATAGTCAAGTCAACATATAAATATATGAGATGATGCAAATGTCCCAATTATGGATATGTCCACGATTGTTCCATGCATTTAAAATTTAGTCGAATATTTAAAAGTTCGAATGATTTAAGAGAACAAAATATTTCATTTGTATTGATAGATTGTACAACGTAGTCACCAAATTTTTAATTATTTATATAGAAATGCTTGTAATCATATTTTAAAAAACAATCAGCGGATACTTTTTTGTATTGACAAGTTTCAAAAATTTTAAAGAAGTCGACTTTGTTTAAACTATTTAGAAAGTATTTAGCAAAATTTCTTTAATTTTGTATGCATTAAGACTGTACTGACCAGTTTTATAACTTTTGTTATTAGTACACACTTAAATGCATTGTGTTCGTGTAATGTCCTCATATGTCCATTCAGAACATTGAGCTCGGCATTGTCCATTGAATAATTCGAGAAACAGATTCTTCGATTTTACCCATGGTTGACGCATAATAAAGTTTAAGGGCCGCTGGTTCATACTTTGTCTCGGTTGGTTTGAATAAGCTGTGATTGTCAAGGTTTAAAGAAAACTGTAACGATTCTAACGTCATTGTTGACTAATACTGTTATTTCAGACGAATTTTTTAAAGATGTTTATATGATGTTGTATGATTGACAATGAGACAACAATTCAGACGAGACCGAAGGATGAGGATATAAAAAAAACCATAGGTCACCGTAATGACTTCATCAAAAAGCAAAAACCATACCATATAGCAAGCTTTGAAATCCCCGGGTTGTTGCTTTAAAAAAAAAAGCCGAAAACAAATATGACAATCAACAACAATCGATAACCACTGAATTACATGCTCTTGATTTTAGACAGGCAAGTACAGAATTTGGCGATGTTAAAAATGTTTGTGAGAGCTCAATCCTCTCTCTCTCTCTATCTGTAAGCAGAATGGTGATGTTACAACACAGCATGAAAATTGTGTTTTTTTTAAATTCAACTGGATAGGGCTTGACTGATCAGATCCAAGAAGAATAAAACAAACAATAAAACCACGTAAACCACAGAGTATTAATCTTATAGTATTCGCAGCTACTGAAAGCTAGTTCAAAGCCAATATCAATTAATAAATAAACCCTCTTTTCACAGACTAAATTTCAATCAGATCACATCCATCACATTTAAAAGGTCATCAGAGATGATAGGCTTATATTTTGGTACACCAGATGCGCGTTTCAACGACTATAAAGACGTCAAAAATAGTCTGAGATAGGCATGATACTGTGCAAAATAAAAATACATGTAACGACAGAATGTAGGACAACGAGTTTTCATTACTTCATAGCAATACATATTTATTTATGTTTTAGTTTAAACAAAACCGGAATATATGTTATAACCATCAAAGATACTATTCAACAATCTTAATACTGTGTTTATGAATGAGTGCATTTAAAGAACCATTAATTTTACATGTATTGTATCTGAATTGACTGGTTCTATGAACAATATCACCGTAACAATTAGGATGTGATATCTAGTTTGTTTTTATGAAAGAATATACCAAAGGTTTTACGTAATTTGTGATAACGAAAACCTTGACCTAATAAATTACTAGTTATACATAGATTAAGTTCGTTGAAATCTAAAACGTCTACTATTGATACAGGAATAGCGAATGATGTGGGAAATATAATATATGGAAAATATTTTTTTTTCTTTTGTCGTAATTAATTTTATAGAGGTTCCCATCACCAATCTAGAAGAGGGCAATTTATATAGGATTTATCTAAATATAGAATTTAGAAGACGTGGTATGATTGCCAATGAAACAAGTCTACACTAGAGACCAAATAACGTTAATAACTACAGGTCCCCGTACGGCTTTCAGCAATGAACAAAACCCATACCGCATTGTTAGCTGTGAAAGGCCAAGAAATGACAAATGTAAATCAATTCAAACGGGAAAACTGACGTCTGATAATTCTCTTTGGTGACTGTCCTTAATATAATGAGAGAATTCTGAAATAATCCATGAAAAAATTTCACCATTGTAACATACGTGTTATATCTTTTTATCTTTTAAATGAAATATAGAGTAAAACGAATACTCTGGCCAAAAACTGTGATTCATTACAATGATTTTAATATGAAATGTTGCAAGATGTGCTCTGTATAAAGTAGTAGGTATATAGTTTTTAGATTATTGACTGCTACAGTTTTTTTCGTTTTTTTTTTTTTTTTTCGTATGTTTTGAACTTTTTTTATCAACAGTAACTTTACATTTCTTTTGAGGTTTTTTATATGAACAAACAGAGATAAAAGCTTTTTTAACAAGTTATATTCATGGGATATGTATAAACTTCGACTGGCCAGATAAATATGTAAAATTAATCATACTTTATTGTATCTGGAATCTCGAAGCAATTGACTTTTTCCGTCTTCAAATAAATTCAAAACAAGTTTTTTTTTGTTCAAAACAAGGAATAACATCGTGAATAAAACAAAAATAATTTAAATGGAAGATTAAAATGCTTAAAATAAAAACTTTTGAACTTTCCAGTCTTGAATGATTGAAACTGTTTTGATTATATAGTCCTTGTTATCAAAATTTAACATCGGCATAAAATAATGAAATGTATGAAATAAATCACCTTTACGGAATTAGAATGTAAAATAACAAAAATACCGAACTCCAAGGAAATTTCAAAACGGATAGTCCCTTATCAATGGGCAAAATCGAAAGCTCAAATACATCAAACGAATAGTGAACAATTATGGCGATCACCTTTTTGCAAAGGAAAGTAGACTAAAAACAACACATACGATGAGCGCCATTGTTAAATATCTAAAGAGTAAGCTATCTTCGGTGTAATTTTTTTATCATTCTTTGTTAAGTATCTCATATTGTAGTCAGAAACATTGCATTTGCATACACTACATTATGTGTTACTAAATAATCTTTTTTAATCAAACAAACAATAACAAAAGAGGATTTCAAGGGTTAAATTCAAACAATTTACAAAGACGTTGTTATTCGCTTGAACTAGATTTATTTATTAGTTGCTTTTTTAAGAACAAAGAACAATGATATACAAATGGACCCAGTTTACTTTTAAAGGGTTAAACACATGATATCACATTTCTTTCAGTAAAACTGTCATCAGTGGTTGTTGATGGTATGCCTTAATTTCTGTTTTTATATGACGTCCTGTTTGTTACGCTTACTATTTGCTTGTATCATAATAGTTCGAGATTTCCCGAGGGAGTAAAATCTAGAAAAGCTCTTCGGGGGCACTAAATTTTATTGTTTAAACCATCATAAACCAATTGAGAACTACAAAGTCACAATACGATTAATGCAAAAAAAACATAACTTTGTAATTGGTGTCTATTTCAATTGACATGTGTCATTAAAACTGCGTACTCTTCCTGAGAACATTCCTGGTTTTCCAGGTCGAAACATTATGCTTTTAGCACAATTTTGTCTGTCTGCCGATTCATATATTTTTCGTGAACCGCTCCGCCCCTTACGTTTTGAAAATCCAGGATCCGCAACGAGTAGTACGACGGGTTCTACTTGTGGATAAAGAATAGCTTATCTTTTCGGATCACATCCGTTGTTATGGGTGGGTTTCGTGTTTTATGATCATAAGTTTTCTATGGTAGCGTTTTGTGGACTGTTTTACGATGACTTATGATTTCTCCTTTTGTATCATTTTTCTTTTTCATGTAAAGTAATCCGCTTAACATGAAATATTATGGAGTTCAAATAAGGAAGTAAGTCGTTCGCTAGAACTTTGCTTGTCATTTTATACTTTAATTGTTACTTAACAATTGTTCATTGGTTGGAATGCTAAATGCTAAATATTAAGTATTATGTATTCGGAGTTTCCAGAAACCAAGCGATTAACAACGTGGAAATATAAAAGCTATTTAAAGATCTTAAATATCTATTTTCACATTATCAAAATATTTGATAGTTAAACCATACACAAAGTATTCTATTTCTCTCCTAAATTAGATAAAAGGAAAAAGTAAATAAAATGATCAATGTGATGTTATATTGAATCTACTCAATCTATGCTAATTTTTCTTGAACGTAATACAATTAAGAAAACGAACTACGCTTGTATATAACTAAAATCTATAAGTTCGATAACATAAACAGTACCAGGTGTATTGCAACAGATTCGCATTTCAACAATATGAAGTCCAAAATTTAATACAAACGTGAGAGCTGACTACACCAAAAAAAGGCCGAAAGTAAAGCCTAAGCCGTACAAAAAATCAGAGCTATATATCGCGACATTCATCTGCATGTTTTATGATTATGTTGTCTCTGTTTAAGCCAACTTTGAGATTTTTTAAATAATACATGCGTTGTTCGGTTCGCAATTTCTATAATATTCAATATTATGTTAGGAAAATTAGCAAAGATTGATAAGACTCCAAATTAAATAAATGATATCTGTTATCCGAAATATATATTGATATTTATACTTTGTTGCGTACTTTATTTATATTTTGGTGTTGTTGTACGCTTTTTAAGCGCAAATATATATTTAAAAAAATATCAGGTTAAAGGGTGAATAGAATGTCTCTAATGTACATATCAAAATATATATCG